ATTCAGTGCTAGGAATGTGGTTCAGTGGGCCAGGCATTTGCTTAGCATGTTAAAAAACAAACAAAACCAACTCTGGGTTCAATCCTAAATACTGCCCCCAAAATAAGTAACTAAATAAATCAATCTGTGCAGTACAGGCTTGTTATCCCAGCACTCAGGGAAGTAGAAGCAGTATGATCAGAAGTTCAAGGTCATTCTTAACTAAATTCGATGCTAGCTTGGCTACATAAGACCCTTTCTCAAAAATGGGTGGGGGGGCCTTCAATGTTGCCCTAAATACTACAGTTAGGTCAGGTCAAGCTTACTATACACTTGACAATACTCCAAACATTTCCTAGAGCCAGTTTTATAAGGGAAAGCAAAAACATCCCTGAGAAACATGCAAGTATCTGCCCTTAATTCCAGAAGCAGGAAGTAAGAATGTGTCCCAATCACATGACATTAAACCACAGTCCATCTGTTCAGAAAACATTGCATTATGTAAGCTATGACAAGAAAAGAGCAGCAAAGGGCTCACAATTTGCTACAGTTTGAAACATGTTCACTGCACCCCCATAGTTATATTTAATCCAACTACACCTTAGTTAACTAAGATAAATCCAAAACTACTGTCAGCCCACTTCTCTCAATCAATCAGTAAGTACTAAATACCAAGTCGTTTAATGAACAAATTTTTCAAAAGTGACTTTTCCCTGGGACATGTATCTCTAATCATCCTCCCTCCTTCCTGCAAAAACTCACTTTTCTTAAATTCTGCTCATCAAGACCAATTTCACTTAAGGAAATCACCACTAATTCAGTTCCTCCTTCATCTTCAAGACCTTTACTTTTAAAGTACAGTACATGACAGAGAGATCTGAAATTAGGAAATCAAAGTTCCTTCCTTTCTCAGTTTGGTGCAGTGGAGCCCTGAGAAATTCAATTCCTCTCAGGATTCTCTATGGTAAACTGAAATGACACACCTATGATTTGCACCACTGAAGAGGGCAGCGCTCCAGAGCATCCCCTTATGTTATTCTCCTTGACCTCACCTACTCACATTACCATTCTGTCTCATTTCTAGGCACATATTACAGGGTTCTTAGGACTGGGGGAAAGATAGTACAAGTTAATGATCCAAACACACAGTATAGACTAAAGTACAGAATCATTTGGCTTGCCATGAGGTTATTGGAAACATAAAGACAAGAACTTTAAAAATCATGGAATCGTCGTCCTCTCTGACTATCTAAATTGTAGAGACCATTCAAAATCATTTAGTCAGAATGAGTCCAGGAAGCTCTCCAGTGACCCCAGTCTATATACCACTTCCCCATCAAAACACTAATATGCCTCTTCAAAAAATACTTAACAACAGGCACTACAAGGGCACTAGCCAATCAGAAAAGGTATCTAAACAATCAAAGCATAAGCAGCCTAGTGAGCAGTGGTTATATAAAAGTCCTATTCATTGTTAAAATGAAATGAATTTGCAACTTCAAATTTAAATACATATACTTTTCTCATCTAACTTCTAAAGTCTCATGAAGTATACAAAATAACTGTTTTGTTTGCCACATCATGCAACTTTCTCAAATTATATATATACATATATAATTCTAAATCAATATAGCATAATCTGTACATAAATAGAACTGCTCACACAGAATTCACTTAATCAACTCACATTTATGTAGAATAGAATATAAGACACAATAGTAGGTTCTGAGGACATAAAAGCATAATTCACCCCTGAATACTCAATACAAACTCAAATACAGTTAGTTAACAATGCAGAATGGTAACAATGGATAACATAAACTTTTAATGCTATACACTTCCAAGAGATGGAGTTCAAAGACAGCCAAATGAATGTCAGGTCTGAGAAGTTCTGTCCTCAAATTCCCATAAGAGATAAAATGAAGCATGCAGCAAAGACGGAAGAGTCAGGAACTAGTGGGAAAGCAGCTATCACCAGAACTCAGAGTTTGCAGTCCTGAGACATCTTTCCAGTGGAACAATCCTAATTCTTAGCCTCACATGGGAAATCTTCAAACCTCACTGGACAACCCAGCATAGTTTGGCATCTGTTTATACAAAATCCTCCATGACAGAAAACTACAAAAAACATGTAGACTGAGGGGTTAACTGGCAGCAAAGATAACTGGGAGGAAAGAGGATGTTAGGCATGTTTTTCCAAGAAAGTCCTGAAATTGCAGGCAGCAAACAGCATTCTAACACATGATACAAATATAAACGAGTAATATTTTATACTTGTCCAGAGATAAGGAACCAATTTCCCTACAAAAATCCATATTGGAGAAAACAGAAGCTAGCTGAGAAATATAAATAATATTCAGACAGTAAAGAGAAACTTCAAGTTTTAAGAGAAGCTAAATTAAAAAGACAAGACGTGCACTTCTTCAGAATGTATAAAAGGCTACACTGGAAACATCAACCAAACTCAATGAGACAAGGTGAACTTATCTAGTCCTAGCTTCTTCTTTTTGGGGGGTTGGGAGTAGGGTTGAGATAAGGCCTCTATATTATTACATAGTTCTGGATGTTCTAGAACTCACTATGTAGATCAGAATCTGCTGAGTGCTGAGATTAAAGGCATGAGCCACAGTGCTGGGCAGGCCATAGCTTCTTAAACTGAGTCCTAAATCCACGTAGAGGTGCTGGGTCATACGAGAATCTGGCAACAGCAAAGGACTTCTGAATGTATAACAACCCAAAATTAATTCAAAATCAAATGAGTAATGAATCTGAGGTGTTTCTGGCCATGCATGCTTGTGTTGTAAGATGTAACTTCACTGTAGCCTTGGTTCTAAACACACATGCTGCCATGCTAGTCAGTGCTAACACAGTCCAGACTACTATTTTATGAGTTGTAATGTTTTTATTGAATATACAAAGTTTTCTATTCTTCCAAAAACATATAGTTAACTACAGAAAAGACTTTCATTCCTCATGAATATCAAAGTGATATATCCTTGATCCATTGTATTGTGTTAGAATGTCTAACTTTAAAAACTGCTGTTTGACTTAAATTTTATTTTAAAAATTATGAACTAAATTTCATCTTGTGATTAAGAAAGAATTTCCAACAATTTCTGAAATGGACCTAAACATATGTAATTATGTGGAGTCGCTGGCACTGGATGATTTAATTCTTTAAGTAAAAATAAATACACCCATCTCGTTGCTATGAAAATATGCTTTAATCTTTAATAAATGGTAAAACTGTATGTACCAATAAATTGTTTTAAAATAATTTTATTTATGATCTTATGATCAGTACATTTGATTTATATTCCTACTTTCTACATTTCTCAATGCCCACATATAATCTTTTGAGAAAAGAGGGTGACAAATGGGGAAAGTTTATGAAGTCTAGGTTTTGAGTAATAAAAGCATCTAGGCTAGTTTTGTATTCACTATTGCCTAAGTAGGCTATAAAGTCCTCCAGGACATGGACCAACCTTCTCAGCATCCACGTCAATACTGCTAAATGCATGACCGTGTCCTGCTTTGTTTTAGGTAAAAATGAATTAATTACTTTATCCAAATAACTGTAGAGATATGGTCACTTACAATTGATACATAATTATAACAATTCTCCCACTTTGTCCACTGTTAGTTATTTCCTTCCTAAGTCAATGTCAAAAACCCATTGAATCTTCTAACGTAGACCTGTGTGAAGAGAATGTTTAAGTAAACCAAGAAACTGATGGCTAAGTTATAAGTATCAAATATCAGCTGTTCTTTAAATGAGCTGTGATACTTTGGTGTAGCAGGTGCACCGATTTTGAACCCTGAAAGGCCTAAGTACAAATCCTAATTTCTGCACTTACTAAGAACTTAATCTCTTGCACCTCAGTTTTCATGTCAATATACAGGACAAATCCTGGTAGCCCCGAGGGTTTCGATACTGTGCCTTTTACATCTGCATTATAATCAACTCGCAATAAATAGTAACTATTAAGTTTAATAACAGTTGGCATCCACAGTCTGGAGAGACTTTTGTTTGGGGTTGTTTTGCTTTTTAAAATGTTGCTATCCAATTTCAACAACAGAAACGTATTTTCATTGTATTTTAGTTGCTAATGCTGAGCCTCATTATTTTCCTTTCTCCTATTTCAATCGGTTCCTGACAAAGTTTTTCAATCTTCCCTTCAGGGGTGACAACCAGTATCACGACCGGCTTTAATGTTTTGGAAAACCACACATTTCCCTTCAAAACCCAGCTACACAGAGCTCTGATTTTAAAACTACTGCTTAAGGAAACGATATACCCAAAGCAATAATCCCTTCGAGAAAAGGAAGCATTTGATCAATTCTACAGAATCATTCTCATTCAAACGTTCCCAAATCTGCAGACTGAGCAAACGTTCAAGTTTCTACTAGCAAGACAATCTGCAACCTTCTGGTTACTGGACTCTGAACTCTTCCCAGACTCACGAAGGGAGAACATTCCGCGCATCTTCGCGCCTGCTTCTCACACAAAGCCCCCGGTGGAAGAAAAGTCGCCCTAGGCGGGCGTCGACACTCAATGGCAGTGCGGCCCACCCGGGGTCTCTGCCCACGGCGCCCTTTTAGACCCTCGGAGGAGCCCTCCACGCGCCGAGCCCCAAAGCGCCTCCACGCCGGAGCCCGCCCACACCCCAACAGCCTCAGGCCGGGGCGCACTTAAGAAGTGGAATCAGGGGACCACGGTCCGGGCTGGCCTCGCACCCCTGAGGGCAGTCCCCGACCTCGGCAGGCTCGCTAACCGCTGCCCCCAAGAGCCCAAGAGGGCCGACCGTCGCTCGGCGCTCGGCCACCCGCGCTCGACACCGCCTCCGCCCCGCCTCTCCTCCCCGCCCCGGCTCGCGTGGCGCCTGCCGGGTCAGGAAAGCCCGGCCGGCCCGGAGCCGCCACCTGCGCCCCCGGCCCCGCGCCATGTTTGAGAAAGAGCTGGAGCAAGCCAGAGGCCGGGCCCGGCCCGCGCGCCCCGCAACCACCCGCCCGCCACTCACCCTTCGCTCCCGGGAGCAGCGCCGCCGCCGCAACCAACATGATGAGAAGCTGCCGGCGACGTGGAGCAGCGGCCGCCGCCTCCATGGTCCCGCCGCCACTGTTTGTGGCCCGGCCCGGCCCCGGCCGCAGCTTCTCCTCAGCAAGCCTCGCCTCTCTCCTCGCCCCACCTCCCCGCCGCCGCCGCGGCCTCGCTCCGGCCCTTTGTAACTGCTCGAGGGGCGCACGCCCATTGGCTGCCCGGCTCCCGCCGACCCCGCCTCCCCCGCCGCCCGCGAGCGCCCTAGAGGGACCCAGCCGAGAGCCCCGCCCGCGGGGCCCTTGGGCTGCCAATGAGCGGCCGTGGGCTTCTGCCTCTAACCACGCCCCCGCACTGCTGGGCCACTGGCCACGCCCCCTCACCGCTGGGCGCCTTGACTCCAGCCACAGCCGGGTAGCTCGCCCTCTACCGGGTGGGGGCAGGGTCCCGTCTGAGCGCCCGAGGGATCCCGCAGTCCCGACTAAGCGCAGGGTGTGCCCGTGGGAGTTGCTCAGGGAAAGACTGTGAGTGACCGTTGCACGCTCTTTTCTTCTACTCCAACCCCACCCTGACTTCCCCCTGCACAGTCCTGCACCAGCAAAGCCCGACTCTCGCCTCTCGGACCCTCATACCGTCCGCTGTTCAACTTCCCCTCCCTAGACCCGCGACTTCCAGCCTCCCCGCAAAGACAACCGGATTTCTTCCTGCACTCCACGTCCGCCCCAGACCTTGTCGTCTCCTCCCCAAATTCCAGTCCCAAAGTCGGAGCCCAGATTCGGAATCCCGAGGCGGAGCTCAGACACACCCCCGAGTGGCCTCTGTCTCTCAGCACGGTAAAGAGACACAGACTAGGGGTCCCCGCCGCCCTCCTTCCCTCCCACGTTTCCTGACCCCTCCTAGAAGCAGAGAGCTCCAAGGGTTTCGAAGGAGAGGGGATGATTGCCCTATCGAGCATCCCTCCCGGGGTGAAGCGGGAGCAGTCATAGGTACTTTAAGCTGTCTCCGACACGCCTGTGTTATAATTTCGAGGTGTCACTAAAAACCCAAATAAACTCAGCTCCGCTTTCATTCTGAATTCCTAATTTACTGTGAGACGCTCCACCCACCTTCCCTCTGGGACGCCAAAATGAGCTCCAGATTTGTAATTCTTCCTGTCAGACTAGTCCTTTCTTCAGACACAAACACAGTCACGGAGGCGGCCGCATGGCACCGACAGCATTATTCCGCAGAACCTTTTAAGGAGAAATTTTTATTTTCTGTGTGTTTTGAACTCAGAATTAAATAAAGCTTGGTAGAAGGACTCAGCCGGCCTCTAGTATCTGTTGGAAAATTGCTTTACAGCCACTCTCCAGGAGTTTGATCTTGGTATGAAAGCAAACTGTGGGGGTTAGAGCTGGGGTCTGAGACTGCTTCTGGGCTCCAGCTAGGACACGCTTGAGCAAGTCCTCAACCTGCCAGAACCTGAACAGGCCTGCTCTCTGGGACTCCAGAACAATCAGTTCCTGGTTCCCCTGGCCCAAGTGCACTGAGGCTACAGAGACTAAATTTGACCAGTTTCTAATGCAATCTCTCTGCGAGACTTAAAGAGGCTATCACACCTGGAATCTCCAGTGCCTGCCTTCCCCCTCACCCCACCCCAAAGCCTTGTACTTCCTAGGCAAGTACTCTACTAATAAGCTATATCCCCAGCTCTTGTTTTTTTTTTTAAAGATCACGTCCCTGCTCGTATGTGCATCATGTGCATGTAGTGCTTGTGGGGTCCAGAAGAGGGCGTCCAATCACTTGGAACTGGAGTTACAGGTGGTAGTGAGCTACCTTGACAAGGATACTAAGAACAGGACCACTTCCTCTGCAAGAGCAGCAGTCTCTTAGCTATTCACGTATCGCTCAGGCCTCCAGTCCTTGTTTGTTTGTTTGTTTGTTTGTTTGGTTGGTTGGTTGGTTGGTTGGTTGGTTTTCGAGACAGGGTTTCTCTGTGTAGTCCTGGCTGTCCTGGAACTCACTCTGTAGACCAGGCTGGCCTCGAACTCAGAAATCCGCCTGCCTCTGCCTCCCAAATGCTGGGATTAACGGCATGTGCCACCACCGCCCAGTCAGCCCTTGGTTTTTAAAGACAGGATCCCATGATGCCAACCAGGCTAGACTGAAACTTGAGATCCTCTTGCCTTAGTCCTCCCACTTCCCCTCCCAGAGGACTGGGTTGCAACCACATGCCAAGATGCCCCTCCCTCTACTTTTCTTTTTCTGATCTAGTCTGTGCCTTGCATAAGATCTCAAGAGATTTTTATTCTATGCATGAATAATTAATCTCATAGGAATTTTTTCTCTGGTTATCTTTAATGGGTAGCAAATATTAAAAGCACCCATCCCACTTATAAATGGGACTGAATCACAAGTCCAGGCTGCCTTAGTGACATAATATGTCTGGAACAGCGTCTGGGACCTAGTAAATATTTAGTCAATGCCATTTACTTTGCCCATCCCCTTTGCACGTTGTTAACCTTGACTCTAACCTAATGCTTTGCCTTATGACGCCTGTACTGATGAACACGAGAATTTTTTTCTGTGACACACTTCCGAGTCCAGGACATTTTCCATGGAACTAAATGTGTTCACTAGGAAACTGAGGAACAGGAAGGAGAAACAGACTATTTTTAAATTATATCTTTCTGATATTAGGAGGCAATTTCCATGAGCTACAATTCTGAAAATAAATAAGCGGTGTTAGAATGGAACAAAACTGTCCATTTAAATTTGAGACTCTGTGCAGTTTTTCAGGTGCAGATGCCTGGGTCTGGGACCTGGAGTGCCTGCTTAAGCTCCTCTGGAGGCATCCAAGAATTTGCATTGCTAATAAACTTCTCAGGAGGTTCTACTGCACAGGGCACCCAGCCACTTCAGAAGACATTGACTTGCTTGAATACCATAAAATGAATTAGCCATGTGTGTTGAAAGGTTGAGCCATAGGACGAAGCTATCAGCCTTAGAGACTTACAGACTCTAGTGATTCTAGCATTTTCTAGATATGGGTCTGGGACCTGCCTGATTTCTACTCACTCCCTAACCCCAATACTCATTCCACCTCCTGCCACCCCTTCCCCACAGCCACACACACACATCACACCCCCCCCCACCTCCCTGTGGCAAAGTAAGAATTATCTTAGCTATACACAGTTTTGTTGTGAGGCCTGAGTGGTTGCCCACAGGGAGCCAATCACAAATATTTATTCGAATCTTAGTCTCCACAGATTCCCAGAAGGCTCATAGGAGGCTCACTCTAGTGTCTTGATTTAAAGGGGAAGAGAACTAGGATCATTTCTCCACAAGTCAGCTGTGGAGCTCTGTCTGAGAGAAGTACTTCAGCACCTCGCCCTCTACTCAGTAAACCCTCTCAGTCTTTACCCTGAGTATGTTGGTTGTTTTCCCTTTGGGCGATTCTCTTAACTAAGATACTTTCTCTGAAACAGAGAGCAAAAGGTTCTAGTTGCCTCCTCTCTATCCATCCCTAGACTTGCTTGGTAACAGAATCCTAGCTCCTTCAGGGAAAGCAGTTCTCTGGGAAGGAAGGGGTAAGGAGAAAGGGGGAGGGGTTCAATTTGTTCAGTTCCACACTTCAGTGAGCGTGCAGCAGAGTTCAGCCCAGCGAAACACAAACAAGAATGTCTTTCCTTCCCAGTTGAGTCTGTTTCTCCTTTATTTGTGATGACTAACTTTGGCTGTTGACTCAATTTGGAGTCTACTAAAACCCAAGCTGCTAGCCACTCCTGCGAGGGTCTTTTTGAGTAGATTATTTGCAATGGGAAGACTCACCCTAAATGGCATTTCTGGGGTGGTGGCCTGGAAACTTTGTTTTGTTTGCCTGCTTGCCCTCACTTTCACCAGCAAGTCCACGGATCCCATTACTGTAGCATTCATTCCTTCACCAACTTTAGAAACAGCTTCTCTGGGCATCAGATGCAGACTGAAGACCAGTAGTCCTCTAGGCTTTCAACAGCAGACCGGGACTGCTGAGACACCAGCTTCATGGGCTGAGAAACTCCTGGAATCTCTGCCTCTCCAGTGTGAGGGAGCAAGTATTGGACCACGCAAACTACATCCTCTAAGACATTCTAATAACCTACATATACAGTCTATCCGTTCGGTTCCTTTAGAGAAAGAACCCTGACTAATAAACCAATTAAACACGGGGCAAACACATCATTCTCACTTGCTTTCTTCCTGGAACAGAGTTGCATCCTCTGGAGACACAGCAGCCTTTTGTAAGCATAATGGTGATAGCTCATATTAAGTTTAATAGGAAGGAAAGCGGAGTCCCAGGAAATTCGGTGATCAACTACATCAGCTCCAAAGCTTACTTCCTATTGCACTAGAAAAAAACCAAGCCTTTGTTTTACACCCTAAAACACTTCATTTCTGCTTATTCTCCCCTAGCTTTTTCTCTCTTCTTTTCTAACCTGCAGAACATTATTGATTTATGTCCTTGTTAGATATTGCCGACTCTTTGTGCTCCTAACTGAATAACAATGTACCTCACGACTTCGTGGCTAGGAATCATAGCCACATGTTATTGTCTATGAGATTGTGGGCAGGCACAGTTGGCTTCTCTGGTCTAGACCAATGTGAGCTGGTCCCCGATAAGCTCTGGCATGAGCATGCTGTCAGGGCTAGTCAGACCCTCTAGGGGGGTTTTCATCCTCCAGCAGGCTAGCCTGGACTTGCTACCATAGCAATGCAGAGATCTAAGATAGAGAGAAAATATGCTTGACTCTTAGGTTTAGAGATAGCACATTAGGCTCACTTCTGCCCCACGGCACTGGTTTGGGCAAAAACTGAGCAGAGACCAAAGTCAAAGCATAGAGGTGAAATTATCACACACACACACACACACACACACACACACACACACTTTATATATAATACATATACAATCCATGGTTCTTAGCTCCCCTTTCATCCTTAAGGTAAGCCACATAACTAGAATTTCTCTTCCCTGAAGCTGGTCATAGAAATTAACCCCCACTCCCTTTCTATCTTGGAGATACTGGACATAAAGAAACTTACTCATCCT